GTTTGATTTTATAGTTGTCATTTCATTCATTCAATAATCTATCCTGATCATTTTTATTTTAAGTCAATAGATGATCATTTCAACATGTAATTTTAAGTCAATAGATGATCATTTCAACATGTAATTTTAAGTCAATAGATATATACATGATTTGAGAGCTTGCTTGGCAAATGGTAGCATTTTTCTTAGAAAATAATATTGAATTATTTAGAATTAATTTGTAATCTGTAATCTATTGAATCTATTGCGTTGCTTTAGCGGTATATTGAAACTTTTCTAAATCAGCAACATTATGCAGGCATTTTATATTCATTATAGATTATAATTGATTAAAGGAATACTACCTCTTAGAATGGACATATTAATACTTTAATTCTTAAACTTGGTCAACAAGTGTATGTATATATTCATCAGTTGAACTAACCAGGTGTCATGACTAAAGAATAGAATCTCTATATAAGACGATATATCCATTAAACTAAATAATTATTGAAACGCACTTCTAAGCATGATTCAAAATTACTTAGTTTAATGGATTTGATTATAGACAGATTCTGTTAATTATCAATTGTCATTATAAGAGGTAGGTTACCTTTAAATGTAAAATTGAGGGGCACTCCTCAGAGGTAAACCAAATGAAGATTAATTAGCAAAAGAAATGATTTAGTTGTTATCAGTCTGATAAGGCACAAGATCTATTCAAATGATAGCTCTGTTGTCATGCTATTGTACAAATTGATGTGATTTCACGTAAGTTTTGTTAGGAATATTTAAATTGTCAAAACTCCTCTTTAAACTAAAATATTACCTTGATACTTTAACAATTTTTCTAGTCATATTTATACTTATCTCATAACGTTTTTTACTTTTCAACAATTTTCAATACAATTATTAGATATCGTTCAACCTATTTCTTAAAGAATGCCATCCAAAAGAAAATAGTTTTTTTACACCTAAGGACATATCAGAACATTAATTAGTCCATTTAGATTTTAGATGGTCAAAGTAGTTACAAAAACTAATATTAATCACATAGTTTCAACTACTGTTATTTTCAATCCATAACTAAGATAGTCAATTTTTGGTTTAAATCAAATCAAGACACAGACTGTGATGAATTGCTTGCTTAAGCTAGGTAGAAATGTTTAACCAAGGATATTGAAAGGTGAATAAAACTCTAGATTTGTAGATAATAAATTTTGTATTAATAAAATTTAAAATAATATTGAGTAGCAAAATATCTCTAGTTGACAAGTTGTACGGAATAAATCAAATCGCATTTAAATCCATTTTATTATAAGCTCTCATTCTGAATAATTTACAATCCTGAAATGACTTGAATATAAACAAGGAATGGTTAGCTTTAAAGAAAAAAATAAGTATAATTCTGAAATAAATGTAGAGGTACATATTTTTACTCATCATGTCATGTAACTCATTAATTGAATATATTGTCAGTATATTTCATACAGTCAGGTTTTATCATTACATTTGTAATAAAATTAAGTGTCAAGTATTGTTTTTTTTTCACTAGTGGGTTCATCTTTATAATGTCAATCTATTACTGAGTCTAATACCTTTATTGCAATAGCATCCTAACATGAATAACGATTATAGTCTGTCAAGGTCACTGATTGGCGTAATAACGCTATTTGTAGAGTTTTATTACAGGCCCTTTGCGATTAGTGAAACACTTAGTATTAGTGGAATTGCAGGAACCACAGAATTTGGAATGGTACAAATTGATGTTATCAATGACCCCAATAATGAATTTTTTTTTTTAGAAAACCTCTTCACAATCCCTTAAAACAATGAAATCTGTGAAGAAAAAAAGTTGCATGAAAGTTACTGTAACTTGTTACTCCCACGCTGACTGAGGTTATATAATGAAATATATAGCAGAGAACATTGTTGAAAAGACCAATTTCACTATTTATTTTTATCTGAAAGTTAATTTTTCACAAAATTGAAGGGAAATGATCATATTTAGTTAACAGTGGCCTAAAACTAAATTTTGACAGTGAAATATCACTAGCACAGCAGTTCAGTATACACTTTCATGGTAGAACACCACAGCTTTCTTGCTTGGTAGATCTGGACCCTCCTGATGAACACTTAATGAGAATTTTAATGCTTCACCATTTTAAGTAATACCATTCTATAATGACATTAAATGGTTCATACACAAATTGCATTTTAGCTATCCCAAATCACAGTTTTCCACTGAATAAATCATCAGCTACATTACAATATATTCACACTAATGCACATTTCAAATGCAGTCTAACTTCACATCTCAAGGCATTTTGTATTTCTTGTATAGCACAATCACTTATAGATTTAATAGTACTTCCTCCTCTTCCTATTAAATATTTCTGAAAATTAAAACAATACCACAGATGAATTTCATGTGTGATAATTTCAAATTTACTAGTGAAGGACACTAACTCAAAATCTGTTCAATCAAATAACTGCCAAATTTAAACTTGAAATCATCAGTAATTTATAATCAATATACATCAATATATATAATTTTCATCAAGATTGGAAAAGAACTGAAGCCTATAATGTGTCTACAAGACAAATTTGATATCTCTTTCATTGAAGGGAACTTGCATACCAAGTTTCCACTGTGACTACCTACAAGAAAGGGGGATAGGGTGATGCAATTCTTTTCCATACCATAAAACATAGGCTTGCGGCAAGTCTCGCAAGCAAATACGCCCACCAGCAGCTGATAAAGAGCTACATGTGAACGGTAAAACAAACCCTATATCGTAGCCTGTAGAGTGAGCACGAGCAAAAAAGTGAAAAAAATGAACGCGATATCAGAGTTTTAAGCGATATCTCTCACCAAATTCAATAGTGCACATCTTCATAATGATATTGACACACATACAAAAGATCAAAAGAATCAATAGAGAATTGTAGTCTGTAGAGTGAGCACGAGCCAAAAAAGCGAGAAAAAAAAACGAACCCGTTATCAGAGTTTTATGCGATATCTCTTATGAAAATCATCGGATCATGACCAAATTCAATAGTGCACATCTTCATAATGATATTGACATACATACAAAACATCAAAAGAATCCATGGAGAATTGTAGCAAGAGGTAAATGTGAACGGACAGACCGACAGGGGCAACTACAAAAGAATCCAGCAGAGTTTTCTAAATGTATTATACTTACCATATCTCGATCACGCTTAGCTTCTAGTTTCATTACAACAAATAAACCACGCTGTGTTAAATTCCATTCTTGTATTTTCTACAATGACACACACAAACAATTATCAAAATATCTTTTAATAATAGTCGTCTCTATTTTGTAGAGTAGAAGAGCTAACTAACTTTATTGTCCTTTGTAATTACCAACAAGAACAGTGAAGTGTTTCTGTACAGTGGAGCTAAGATATTTGTCCGCATATGAGACAATTCAATAACTAACGATATATTACAAATTATTATTGAACCTAAAATTCGGTTGATATTCCATTTAAAGGCATTTCTGTGGTCCTGTAATTCCACTAAAACTAAGTGTTAGATGGTGCCATTAATCATAAATTATGCTTTATCACATAACAACCTTTGTGATCAAACACTTTGTTTTAGTGGAATTGCAGGAACCACAGAAATCTGACAGAAAATTGGAATAGTGTGTATTGATTTTATCAGTGTTCCCGATACAGATACAAATTTTAGAAAACTCTTAAAATTAGTGTAACGAGGTTTTCTAAACTTTTTATGTGTATCAGGGACACTGATAGCATCAATTTGCTCCATTCCGAGGTCTGTTCTTGCAATTTCAGTGGGGAGCTACTGGAAGCTACTATTTATATCTATGCAGTTCCCCTCTGGTGACGTCATAAAATGCGTTAGTTTAAGTGGAAATGCAAGAACCACAGACTTCAGAATGAAAATTATAATTTGATTGTGGGACATATGACTGTAATGAGAACGTTTCAAATGTAAACTTAGATATGGGTCATTCCGTCTTAAATCATCCAATTTATAAAATTTTCCCACATGACCCACACAGATTCTTTTGAAAAAGAGTTCCTATACCAAAGATATGTATACCATTGGTATTGGTCATAGGATCACCTGTGAATTTTCAGAAAAATCATGTGGGAACCACCAGGTAAAATCACAGAGGAACCACCAGGTACAATCACGTGGGAACCACCAGGTACAATCACGTGAGAACCACTAGGTGATTTGAAATGGAATAACCATATCTTTATTCTATGTTACCTACCGGTAATATTTTGTATGGTATTTCTAATGCTAAATGTTCTAATAATTGTTCTTGGACAAGTGATATAGCTACTTCTTGTGGTGATTTATCAGTAACTATACTACTGTGGTACTGCCAGTCCCCTGGCTTAGCCATACCTTTTAAATATTCCTAAAATAAGAAATCATTTTGGATATAAGTACAGTTCAGCTGGCACTTTACGCTGTAAAATTTGACAAAGAATGGCACCTTTCTAAGATTCTTTCTGAAAAGGTTTAAATTAAGCTTAAGTGGAAGGCAAAAAATTATAAATTGTGTCAGGGATCCCATTAAAGAAAAAAATAGAGGTAATGGAAAAGATCAGCTGAGGGTCAAGAGGGCCACTGGGAGATTTTACCATTTTAAGATGCTTTGGAAGTCATTGTCTATATATGGATACAGTTATCTTTTCATCCTTTAATCCAAAAAGTTATTTTATTCCAAGATATAATAAAAATACCACTGTCAATAAAAAAATAAAGGAAGGAATTCCTGTAAAAAGAGGAAGTCTGGGATTTCTGAAGACTCCAGTGTTAATTGCTGTTCTGAAGACAAGGAAAATAAACTGGATCTATAGGAAAAACATAGGCTTGCGGCAAGTCTCGCAAGCAAATACACCCACCAGCAGCTTGATAAAGTGCTAAATGTGAACTGTAAAACAAACTCTATATCGTAGCCTGTAGGGTGAGCATGAGCCAAAAAAGTGAAAAAACACGATATCAGAGTTTTATGCGATATCTCTCAAGACAATCATCGGATCCTCACCAAATTCAATAGTGCACAACTTCATAATGATTTTGACACACATACAAAAGATCAAAAGAATCAATAGAGAATTGTAGTCTGTATAGTTAGCACGAGGTAAATGTGAACAGACGGACCGACAGGGGCAACCACTATATACGCCCATACTTACGTGTGGGCGTATAAAAAACAGAAGTTATCTTATTAAAGGACATGTTTGACTTGCATAGATATTTCAAAGTACAAGTTTATGTTGGAAAAAATAACTGTAAGATATCCCCCATCATCTGTACAAGTCAAACTTAACCTTTAATGTATTCTGACTCAGACAATTAGCAATAAACCTCACTTTTAATTCTTTTACACCATCATCTCTTTTAGCCGCCACCATAAAAACATTGGAAAAATGTGACCATCCGGTTTCATTTTCCAGTTCTCTGTTCAGTTGTCTCTCATCAATTTCACTGTCCTCTACTAATTTCTGTGTTACACTATCTAAAGCTGGATTTAAATCCACAGATAACAGAGTAAGTCTATATCTTATATCATCAAGTACATGTAAACTATTTGATCTTGACATTCTTTCTTCATCTTTCTGTTGGCGATAGTAATCTACTTTATCTCTTGTTTTGGCTAAAAATGGCCGTAGTTTTTCTTCTGGGATATGAATCCTATCATTGTAACGTTCATCATCATAATCATTATAGGAACTTCTTCTATTATAGCGATCATTATAGCGATCTTGTCTATCATAGCCATCATCTTCATAATATTCCATTTGACCTAATCAAAAATAAAAACAAAGAAATGAATTTAAAACAAAGACATGAATCTAAAGCAATGAATATGAAGACATGATTTAAAGACAAAGATATGAATTTAAAGACATGAATAAAAGACAAAGAAATGAATATAAAGACATGAATTAAAGACCAAAGAAATAAAGACAAAGAAATGAATATAAAGACATGAATATAAAGACATGAATTTTAAAGACAAAGCAATAAAGACAAAGAAATGAATATCAAGATAAAGAAAGAATTTAAAAACAAAAAAAAAGAATTTAAAGACAAAGATAGAAACAGGAATTTAAAGACAAAGATAGAAACAGAAAAGAATTTAAAGACATGAATTAAAGACCAAAGAAATAAAGACAAAGAAATGAATATAAAGGCATGAATATAAAGACATGAATTTTAAAGACAAAGAATGGATATCAAGATAAAGAAAAAAACAAAAAAAAAAAGAATTTAAAGACAAAGATAGAAACAGGAATTTAAAGACAAAGATAGAAACAGAAAAGAATTTAGAGACAAAGATAGGAACAGAAAAGAATTTAAAGACAAAGATAGAAACAGGAATTTAAAGACAAAGATAGAAACAGAAAAGAATTTAAAGACAAAGATAGAAACAGAAAAGAATTTAAAGACAAAGATAGAAACAGGAATTTAAAGACAAAGATAGAAACAGAATAGAATTTAAAGACAAAGATAGAAACAGAAAAGAATTTAAAGACAAAGATAGAAACAGAAAAGAATTTAAAGACAAAGATAGAAACAGAAAAGAATTTAAAGACAAAGATAGAAATAAATTTAGAGACAAGAAAAGGAATTTAACTATTTATCTGAATACTAAGCATATAAAATGGAACTATTATAGAATAGGAATACAATGTATTCAGTTTAGCTGTTTCTTTTTATTTGAAATCAGACATATGAATGACATTTTGCAGAACAGACAAATTTCAAGGTAATTGTTATATTCCACCTTAGGCCTAAAAACAAAAACTTTAACTTGAGATGATTATAGTGATCTGATTGGTTAATCAGTAAAACAGATTTCAAATTTAGTTTTATTGTCCAATCAATTAACTGCGTTTCTTAACATCTGGGATTTTTTTCTTAGTTAAGTATTACCAAAAGATAGCTTGCCAGGCAAGCTAACATACGCCCACTGGCAACTGTCAGAAATGATAAAACAATCATTACTGATTAAAGTATGAATTTTAATAGTTTGAATTCAATGATATATATATTTACTGACAGTTATTTATGCTGAGAAATTCCACCAAATTTTTAAAAATCAATATCAATAACCCAAATACATCAAATTATCTCATCAATATACATGATCACACCATGCATCATTAAAATCAATTGAAAATTGTAGTACACAAAGTAAAGCCTTTCATCGAAATATCATCAAATTCAAACTTGTCCAAGATCTCATCAATATAAATGATTACAGGAAATTTCATTAAAATCAGTTGAAAACTGTAGTCTCTATTGTATTCACAAACAAATTCAGACGCATGTTTCTTTAGTCAAAAGGCAATAACTCAAAAAACGTTCATTGAAAAATCATCAAATTTAAACTTGACCAAGATCTCATCAGTATAAATGATCATAATATAGCTAATAAAGTGAAACGTTGTGCTAACTCTACAGGCTAGAATTCTTTACAGATTCTTTTGATTTTGATTGTCAATGTCATTATGAAGATGATCCCTATCGATTTTCGTGATGATCGGATAATTTTTCACCGAAATATCGTGTCTGACTTGACGTTTTACTCCATTAGCTAATAGAGTCAGACACGATATTTCGGTGAAAAATCGACTTTCGTGATGATCGGATAATTGTTCACTGAAATATCGTGTCTCACTCCATTCTAATAAAAATTATCCAATCATCACGGAAATCGATAGGGATCATCTTCATAATGACATTGACACACAAAATCAAAATCAAAAGAATCTGTAAAGAATTGTAGCCTGTAGAGTGAGCACGAGTTGCACAATATAGCTAATAAAGTAAAACGTCAGGTCAGACACGATATTTCGGTGAAAAATTATCCGATCATCAAGAAAATCAATAGGGATCATCTTCATAATAACATTGACACACAAAATCAAAATCAAAAGAATCTGTTAAGAAATGTAGCCTGTGAGTATGAACCAAATGTGAACGGACGGACGGACCGACAGGGTGATTACAATATACGCCCATCTTATGTGTGTATAAAAAGATTTATTGTAGATAACAAAGTCACTAAGATCAACAAATTCATGACCTGCTGGTATAAAAATAAAGGCTCATGTCCACATACGTTATTTATGAGGCATTTTCACGCAACGTCAAATTGTGTCAAGAGTTTGCCTGAAAATGACCATTCATAATAGGCTGCGTTGTATTATGTCCTCATGAGCGTAGGTGGAGGCACACTTGCTAGGGAAGAAGACAACATGGCGGACGAATCAGACAGTGACAAAGAAGTCAAAGCACTTCATATCTACAATAAACGAAGTCAACCTGAAAAAAGGAAGTCACTGTTGGGGAATATCACCACTTGGTGTGGCAACATTTTGATTGCGATTTCATTGGCTAAGACCTTTTGGATTACGCCAAGCGATAACACTTAAAACCCCTTGGATGTTATTAGCATATTATGCAACTTCCAAAATAGGCATTTGAAAATATATGGACATCCCTACCTAAACCGAGCAAAGTAATTTAATATCATTCTTGACAAACAAAATGGCTTTACGCTATAAAAAAAACCCAAAAACTAGCACGGATACTGTTCTTATCTTATCTGTACCGTTGTTAGAAGCCATAGAGAACACGTAATGTGATGGTACAAATAGCTAGTGCAAAAAAAAAAAAACATTACCTTTCTCACTCTGTCTATCATGATATTGTGATAACATCTCTTTAAGTGTAACTTCTTTGCTAGTTTTATTATCATCAGAATTAACCGATAATGGTTTGCCTCCACATCTATCATTTAATAATTTCTGACATATTTTCAGTAATACACCTTTATGTTTAACTAAATCTACCTGCAAAAAATACATATTATTCTCTTTAGTTTGAGAATTTAGCAATTCCATGCAAAAATGAGCCAGGTTTGCCATCTGGTTGACCCATTGTACCTTAGTCTCAGAAAGAGGAATTTTGTTAGCTATGCCAGTCAGTAGTAGAGTTCATAGCTCACTGTCGACATTTGAACCTTCAAATCCTTGAGTGTCCAGAATTATCCGCATTTCAAAGTTAAAAAGACGACTTCTATATAAAGAAGACATCTATAGGAATAGAAAGTGAGGTATTTTTGAAGGAATTATGCAATTTCAATACATTTCTAATACTTCTGAAGACTATTTAAATATATTCAAGATTCCATTTAACTCCCAAAAATATTGAACCTGTCTCTTCAACATAACTCATATGATGTCAGATCTCAATAATCAATATTTTCATGCAAAAGTTTTTACATCTGAAACACATGTTGCAGAAGTATTAACTCATAATGAATTATATAATACTATAAACAAAGAGACACAATAGTATGTTTATTCTTCTAGACACCTGATACCACTTTTCATTATGAAATAATTTAAATTTTCAATTATGAAATATTTACTCACTTACTATTGATATATTTCCTAATTCATTAGCTGCTACTAATATTTCACAATAATGTTGTTTGGATTTTGAGTTTTATTTAACAGTTCGGATTGTTAATACTTTCAGCCAAATTCTATGCTTGTTAGGCAATTCAGTTACTAATTGCATTAGTGGTGCAAGTCTCTAGCAGAAAAAGAAAAGATTACCTTATTTAATATGAGAATTGAAGGTATATGTTTATTTAAATGTAATATTTTTAAAACATATTTATTCAGTGCTGTTCTTGTCCAAGTATCAGAAACATCTACTAACACACCAACTGAAAAAAACAATCATCAATCACTACAAATGAGATGCACAATGGCAACTTTCTGTAATTTTTACGCTATTAATTTTTATGAATTCAATGTATGCTATATAGCACATCAGCTGTATTATAATGACTATATATTGATACGTATTTTATCATATGAAATTATAGTTGAGATGTCTGGAACAAGAAACAGAAAACACCTGCTTGCTGAATCTTGTGAAAAAATGTGGCCCACGTTATGTCTATTTGCAAACTTCTTTCAGGCAAGTACAAATCATTGTTTGTAGCCTGTACGGTGAGCATAAGCCAATTGTGAACAGACCGGCGGTTGACAATATGCTTCCATACTACGTGTGGGCATAAAACAATCAAAAGAATCCATAAAGAATTGTTGAATGAAGTCTGGCAAAAGTTGCTTAGAGTGAAAAAGCTAAGTTGAACACAATTTTTCAGTGAAAAAGTATCAGATCATCACGAAAATCTTCAGAATGACATTAATCAACAAAATAAAAATCAAAAGAATCTGTAAAGAATTGTTGCCTGTAGAGTGAACACAAGCCAAATGTGAACGGACGGACCAACAGGGTGATTTACAATAAACACCCAAATATTAATTTGGATGTATAAAAATCAGATAGAAATAGTATTTCTACAACTTTATCAAGTCAATTATAGACAGTTGGACAAAGATGACAAAATACATACAAATTATTATGTAGGAGTATAAAAAGTCTTACTCATATCAGCTTTTGATACACTTTCTTCTGGATCCGTTACCATACTAGCTTCTAAATTATGTCTGAAACAATTCCATATTTTGGAACATACGTTTGATGTGAATATTGAATTCTACTCATTAACTCAAATTGACAAACATAAAAATATGAGGAATTTTTATTAAATATTCTGATCAAAAAGACATCCGGAAAAGACTATTTACATCACATAAGCCTTTATTGATATTTTTGAAATAACTCTTCTCTCCAAATTACCCAAATTCAAACAAGAATTCAAAACAGTGGAGAAGGAAGTGGATGGGAAAATTTTGTATGTGCTATATCCGCTCAGAACCTGCTCAAAACTTTCCAATCAAGAGCTACACTATATGTGGAATGTAAGTTTTAGTTTGAAGAAGGCTTGGAGAAAGAAAATATATTTAAGATGATTTTCTGTATGAGAAAATAAAAACATACCTTTTTCTCTTGGCAGGATCTAACACACCAGGTGTATCAAGAAATATCTACAAAAAAAATATATGGATATATGTAAACAGTCTTCAGAATGACTAGAACTGCACGAAAATCAGAAAATTTCTTCAAATATACTTCAACCTTTTTATTTAATTTTTAATTTTAAGTGGATAATTCTAGATACACATGGATTTGAAGGCTCAAATTTAAATAGTGAGCTGTGAACACTATTACTGATTTGCTTTGCTAATAATATTACCATTTCTGAGACTAAGTTATGATTGGTCAAACAAATGGTGAATCTGTCCTTTTAGCACTACTATGCTTGATGGGTCAAAATATGTACACAGATTACCGCGGAAATGTAAAGAAAGGGACATGGTGATAATTATATACATACTCATCCCTTAAGATGTGAGAGTAAAAATCAGTAAAAAGTTTTAATGATAATAATACATGAAACGAATAAAATTTCAAAAAACTTACAATTTGTGTTTCATCTTCTGTACAGACAGCTAATGTATTTTTTCTAGTGGTATGAACTTTGTTTGAAACCGAGCTCACCTAATAAAACCAACAAAAAATATATTATATCAAGCTAACTTCAAATAGAAACATATCTAAACTCAATCAATTCAAATCAGATTACAATTTATCTTCTTTATTTTCTGATAGTTTAAGTCTCCATGGTATACTAATTGTAGATCAAAAATATTAGAAAAAACAAAGATAAGTTATAATCAGACACATGAAAGCACATGAACGGTCTTGGTCGGCGATTTTTGTCGCCGACAAAGAGTCTTCTGGGTCTCACCAACCGGCACAGGCGATTTCTTATGTCAATAATCAATTTACAGGAAAATGAATCGGATTGGATGATGATGGTCTGTCTTGCAGGCGATAAAACTATTTGGAGAAAGCACATGCAAGATTTTACTCAACATTCAAGTCGGCGATAAACATCACAGACCGATCATGTGGCCTTAAGAAGGCATATAAAACTTTGCGCCTGATCTAGTTACCAGAATCAGCAAACAAACTTAGGTCACCTCATATTTTGAAGACCTGACCCAAACTTAACTACTTTTTTAAACTGTTAACAGTAGGGCTGCAATGATTCTTGAAGTTGCGCTTCTATACACTCATCCAATGATATGATTTATAGAGATAATAATCGCGATTGATTTATTGGATAAGCAACGAGAAAATTTGTAAAATTACTAACATTTAGAACTAAGGAAAACATGACACAATTTTTTAAACACACAAGGATTCTGTATCATTTGTTATTAAAGGGGCTGGGAATTAATTGTGCCGATACATCACAATCATTTTTATCCAACGAAATACATTGATTCTTCGGTGAATCGTTGCAGCCCTTGTTAACATGGACATATATATCGGATATCGATGTTCTGTTGTAAACAAAGTAAAACGAAACTAGCATCCTCAACAATTTTAAACGGTATGCATTCACATGGTTGTGACCTATGTTTGTGTGTGTTATTTCCATGTAAGAACCAAATCTAGTTTCGTACTCTTATTCATAATTGGTTGTTATGATATGACATTGTTATTTTATGGTGTTTCATACATCCTTAACTATTTTGAAATGTTTAACAATATTACCTTCCAGTTCATCAAGCTATTGGTTAAGGTTGATTTACCAGCATTTGGTGCTCCGATGAGAGATATCCTTAAGATCTTGGCATTCTCTGGCTGATCAGGAACTAAAAGCTTTCTCTTGTTCTCAACATCTAAACAAATCACAAGACAATATAGTTCATCAAACAGTAACAAAACATGTTTCAGGTTCTGTTTTAAAATTTGTATATCTCTCTTATAATGTATTGAGCACTATTTTAGCAGTTAAAATATTTGTTTTTGTAGTGAAGAAATTTATCAATACACATCTATGGATGTAAATGTTAATGCTGTGGGCACCATGCAGTGACTTTTGACGTGGACTAGAGTCTTGTCAAGAGTTTCACTGAGGGCTGCAGGCACGCGATGAGTCAAAAAATCTCCAGTTGGTTGTTACCACTAAGTCGATAATAACGCATGGATCATGCATATGAAAGGAAAAGAATCTGATTGGATGATGAGGCTCTGTCTTGCAGACGATAAACATTCGCCTAAAACCGGTTAGCAACACTATATCCTTGTCGTGGAAGCACGGGCACACATTTTATTCAAGATTTGGGTTGGTGACAAAACTGTTCTGTACCCCCACCATAACATAACCAGGTTATTCTGATCGAGGGTAAAATAAATATATATCTATATACAGCACAAATATTTACAATGCATAGCTAAGACTAATATGACAGCACATAGCTGCTCTTAGGTTCTGATTATAATGAGGAATGTTTATGTCCTATTTCTAGGATTGTTGCTACATATTCATAATCTTAATTATCAAATTTCTTAATCGATTATGTCAAAGTTGCATTTTCTACCCTGTCCCTGGTTAACAAGTAGTAATTTCTTCCAAATAGTTTCCCCTTCAGCACTTAACTTACCCACAATAAGCCATATTAAGCAATCAAAAGCAAGAAGAACATACTTCTATAACATTATTTGGTTTTTAATTAAGTATTTACAGGGTTTGAAATATATTTTACTAAAATTTAACTCACCACTGGTAGGTCCAATGCCTCGCAAAACTTTCGGAACTGATTCTTGATCACTGTCTTCATCATAAGATACATTGTCAACCTTTTGAAAACTTTTTCGTCTAATATCTGACCTATTAGATAATGGCTGCTCTATCCTCCCAGACTCTTCCAGAGGTAGAGGTATGTCATGTGATTCAGGCATCTGATCTTTATTTTCACCATAAGTAGAGGAATTAACTGCATCATCTTGGAGTTCATCAAAGAGATCTCCTTGGTCTTTAGAGGTTGTTGAACAGTTTCTCTGGAAGTTATGTAATGATAAGACTCGGCTATACGTCACTGGAAAAAAAAACACAAAAACCCCTGAAACATTTGCTACTAGTGAAATATCATAAAATATTTTGAATCTTTATAATAGTAGTTTTTAGAGTGAAATATAACTGTCATACCAAAGATATACAAAGAAAATCAATAAAAAGTTTCTTATTTAAAATACATGTAAAAACACATTAAACAATAATGCCACCCAAGTTATTTCTTTCTGTGCTAATCAAATTTATAACCTTTCATTTAATCCAGTTATTTAAAGGGACAGTCCATGTTTTCCAGAATTATTGGTGTTCGAATGTTACATTGACGACATGTCATTTTAAAATACTCTGTGGTAAATATAACTGACATCTACAGAAATAAGAAAGCAATTCCTTGTTTGAGATATTTTTGGAGGAATTATGCATTTCATACATTTCCAGTACTTCTGAAGACTATTTAAATCTACTCAAGACCTGAAATTAACCCCTCTGCAGGTTTATACCAAATTAAGGCTGGGACTATTTACCACTACATGGAAAATAGTCCTGTGCCTTTCACAAGGCCTATTTACCACATAAATTTGCAAGGTCAATATGTATAGAGGGATTAACCACTTAATTATTTATGGTACAAACAACCAACAAATTGATGCTTCACTGGTACTGGTTAATGGTAACTAATCTGGAGTTACATGAATGTTCTAACAGGATTATAGTCAGTAATGTTAGAGTATCTTGAGGTCAACACTGTATGCACAGTCCAAACATTATTCACTATATCTCTATTGCCAAACAAGGTAGATATAAGAAATAGAAAAATATATTGCAGTGAATAGGGTAATGGTGATAAGGTTTACAAGAAGCCTAATTTGACAGTATTAACTTCATTATAATTGACTTAGCAAAGTAAAAAGTTTCTTTAATTTTTTCCATTACTTTTAGGAGAATCAGAATTCATTTCCCTTAATCAAAAATCTGCTTGTACAACACAAATACCAAATGGAGCCTGGGAAATTCAAAATACTTACGTAACCAGTTAAGACTTTTGAAGCTGTTTGTGACTTAACCCTTGGTTAAGTTGAAACTTTCATGAAAGGTAAGGGGCATTGGCATGCAGTTTTAGGTAAAAACCGATTGAAAAAAAGCTGAATGCCCTTTAAGATTAATATAAGTCTTCTACTTCTGATTAAAGTAATTTTACATTGACCTTCAAATTATTCAAACTTGAAGGCTTAAACAAGGCATATATGGCATGACAGTTATGATAATGACAGAAAAATTCGTCTTTAAAATCTCAGCAAGAATACATAAGCCTCTGCACCTCAAACATCCGATTAATCTACTAATTAATGTGGATATTTTTCCCTGCCATTAGTGTGGTATTGGTAATTAGCCGCTACTCTATTAAAAATTGCATTATTTCTGAACAAAAAGGCATAAATAAATAAAAATGTACGGTAATGATTTTTTTCATAAGATCATCGTACTTACAGGTTAAGGTCTGAATATTTCGCCTGTTAAAACGCCTTGACCTGACTAATAAGTTTGCTAGCTGAGACAGCCCTCGTGTTGAGAAAGCTGCCATTTTGTTTACAAGCTTTCCGGAACTATTCGGTAAAGTCCGTTAACTCACATTAATGGTGAGGTGTGCCTTCGAACTCAAAGTCACTGCAGACAGTCGCAAATCGCTGCATTCTACATAATAGTAACCATAGAGTTACATAATATATAACTCTATGATAGTAACTTGAAAATATTGAAACATAGTGTTGGTAAGAAAATGATTCAAGATCCGTTTTAATCCTAACGCTCGACAGTTGATGCATTGGGAACTAATTTAACAGTGAAAATATGATATTATTATGTCTATAAAATAAAAATGTCAATCTTGTTTAGTATTTATATAGGAAGCTAGTTCTCTTAAACCGAAACATTTAACACTATTCCAGTCTTTAATAGATATTAAGACAGATTTGTGTATATAGAGACATAAAAAAAGGCTCTGTTAACTTGGAACTTTCCGCATCGCGGCAGGTGCGCGGGTTTTAAACTTATGTAGACCTCGGGTCTGCCAAACCCAGATATGTTCAGAAAGATGAATATTTTTGTAGTTCACTCATCCCATCATTTTCTATCTACACCATTTATGACCCACATCTCCGATTCCATCGAAGTTTTTTTTAAACAAAACTTGTCAGGTTTTTTTTTAACAAAACTTGCGCTTTTCGTTCATTTCTAGTCTAGTACTTCGGATGACTACGTATATTCAGGATTCAAATCTTTCTTTGCTGAAGAAACTGGTTCTCTTAGCACATCGGAAAAACAGAATCAATTTTGGAATGAAAACGTCGGAATTCGGCGGACCAACCCGAACGATTACGGAAATCAAACCGGAAGAAGTATCTCGAACTATTTACAAAACGGCTCAGTTCTTTTATCATCTAATGTAGGTTAATACTATCACCTACACCGGCCTCGAAGTAATTTACACCAGTACACGTTGAATAAAATCGCGACATTTTTGTAGTCATATGGTAGGCTTCTGGATTTTGCTTATTCCTACAACATTTGATTTCTGATAATCACGAGAAAAATGACTTATATAAAGTCTTGGGATGAATTCGCGAAAGCTGTGGAACGAGTTTATGTGAATAACCCGTTAAAATGTCGATTTGTTATGAAGTACAGAAATGTGGATGGATTGTTGACAATGAAAATAACAGATGATCATGTTTGTTTACAATATAAAACAGAACATAATCAGGATGTGAAAAAATTGGAAAAATTACTTGGTCATTTGATAAGGGATATGGCATCAAAGGAAAAATAGAATTTATATTTGAAGTAAATCAAAACTGATTAATTATTTGAATGTGGAGTTTCGATGAGCTAGAAAGTGTGGAGAGGAGACATTTGGTCTAATATATGGATATGAATTATCCAGATATGTTTATAACTAAAAGTTAATTATAAGTTTTCATTTAATTTTGTGACTCAATTTGGATGGTAAGCATCAGAAAATGTTGTAAAAAACAATGGTTATTTTGTGCTGAAGAATATTATAAGCAACAATGTCAGCTTGTTAAATATCTTAAACGTTAATTTGGTACCGGTACATGATGAAAAGAATTCATGTTGGATATGTTTTTTGAAGAAATGTGTAAAAAAAAAAAAAGGCTAAATATGTATTATAGTGTGTTTGAGTTGTGCCCCTGTTGTGTAAGCATTGGTTTATCATGTTTATGAATGATTTAAATGTTATGATATGGGTTGGAACTCTTATGAGTTATGTTATCATGTGCTTTTGATTTTGTATAATATATGTATATGTCAGTTTTAATATAATAATGATAAACAAAACAAAATGTGTCATTTTACTTCTACCTAGTACGAAACATCTGCCTCTATTCCAGCCTCTGATGGATATTTCAGAAGTCAGAAGAAAAAGACCCTTTTAAATGGGTATGGTCCACACCTCAGAAGATACGTTTTTAATAACATAATTTCAAATTACCTTTACGATGACTGTAAATTAGTGTTGGGCATCACCAAATACATCTGGGATTCGGAGATCCGAGGTATATAAATATGTTTAAAACCCTGCACATGCAGAATGCCCCCATTTAACAGTCTATTTTTTCTGTCGCTGGAATAGAGACAGATGTTTAGGTTTAACTTCTACTGACAATGTTTATTGTATCACCTCTGCCTAGAGTGTCATATACAGTGTCTAGTCAGATTGGAACAATATCTTGGTATTTTATATCTGAAACATCAATTACCCATCCGTGTCATAAATTGAGAAAACCTTATTTCAGTCATCGGATAGCGTATGATGCAGACACAAGAAATTTATATTGGTCTGTTTAGTAATTGTCTCCCATTACATACAGAACTAACAAGAGATTTAAAAGAGGAAAGAAAAAACACCAATCACAAATAAGAAACATTTGAGAGGTGAAAAAGATGAAAGAAAATAGACATAAGGATAATGAAAGACATATATCTAGATATCATTTATGTAAATAAATGCTCGGAAACTATTTAGACGATACTTCCATCTGTTAATTATATTTTAATCGTAGGCGAACCATACTTTGGATTTTGATTCTGAAAGAAACACAGATAGCTGAAAATGAGCCCCATTGGCTATTGAAGCTAATATTTGACAATAATACACATGACCCGTGGTGTATTGAGACGAGTGTTAATGAAAGCACTGGACTGGTCAAAGTTTAGTTATCAAGATAAAAAAAATCATGCTTCAATAAAATAAACTTCAAGGTTGTGCCTTTTAGTATGGAGGATTATCATTTTGGTCCCAATGAAAGCACTGGCCTAGGTCACAGAGCAATAGATAAACTTATTTTTATATGAAAATTAGACGTTAGTATGATTATTGTTACAAAGACGCACACACAATCATGCATGATGGTTGGATTTTGGTGCTGTCTGTTAGTCTCTGACGCCCTGTCTCTGACTTCTGTCTATGATCTTTCGTCGTATCTCTGCATAGACAAAGAGGAGCTGGATGATATAGGGTAGCTGTCTGTGTCAGTCTCTTGTTAATTTATATTAATCGAGAGAGGAAAACGTAGACTGAGATTTCTACCACCTTAATTCCCCTAATATATCATGACCGTTTCTCAACTTTACTCCATCAGGTGTTTAATTCCACTGTAAGTGAAAGAGAGAATAGATTAGCTTTACACCTTCCCCAGCTCTTGTGGTGCTCGCTTTTCACCTTCAGGACCAAGTCAAAATTGTCTGATTACAGCGCCCACACACTGCTAACACTATTAGTCACTAACTCAAAGATCCGCCATTTTGACTCGTCAGAATTGAAGATCATTCCCTAAAAGGATGGTATCGGATTTGAATTATAGAAATGAAATGAAAGGAGTAGACTTTTCAATTGTATCACCAGTCTTCCATACTTTTGGTACTTGAAATTAAATGAAATTTACGTGAGTTTTACGTCTCACTTTTCTTCACCTAATGGGCTATAATGAAGACGGACAACGCCATGCATTGTCTTATTACATATATATATACTTTTGTGTAGACGCCCATTGCTAGGATATGTCTGCCTAATTACTCTGGCTTACTAAAGTTCAAATATTTTTAACAATACAAATTTTTGTTAGTAATAGATTGCGTTTTTATAGCACAGATAAATGGTGGCGCGTGATTTCAGAATTTGAGCAGGTAACAGTCAAGTTGCTTCCGTTTCTGAAGATAAATGGTGTTAATGCTAATTTCCCGATACGTATGACACTTCGCATATAACCTGGGCGGGAAAGGGCTATTTTTCGAACATTCTTATTAAATCTAGCACCACTCGCAGCCAATTTTCATCAAGTTTCCGTGATTTGATTAATGATATCTCACGAGAATCTTGATAAGCTTCTCAGATTAGCCGCCATTTAATCAACTTTCTTTCTGCAAATTTTTCTATCAATGTTAAAATAACGTCACGAAACGTGTAAGGTGCACGTTATAAAAAGTGGTATTGGCCCACCTGATTGACGATATAGGTCTGATAATATTATTTAATCATGAACTTGTCTTTGACTTATTGTAAATTCAGTTTAATCATGGCTGTATTTGAATCATTTATAGTAGCCTACATACTCATTCAGATTATCTACGATAACTTTTGTATAATGATATATAATTTTATACCCCCTGAGCCATTTTAAAAACGTTGTCTTTATATCCACCGACTTTCAAAATTGAAGAAGAGTAGGCTGATGCTTCTGTCCTGGGAAATTTTCCCTCAATGTACACTGCAAGTCGTTGTGTTGCATAAAGTAGGAATTCATTCATTTCTATAGTTTGGAATTTGCTGCTTTAAAGGAACATTCCATTTGATCCTTATTATTTAGAAACAATGAGCAGGCTCATGCCGCTCTCCTGGCAAAATTTCCCTCATTTCCTAGACAGCGACGATCTTTAAGGTAGGCTAACAAAATACACATAGGACCATAATTTATCATGTAGCCTATTTTTTTTTATGAAAAAAGGATGAGACAAAGGAAGGGGCGAAGTGCGAATAGGGAAAATTTGGCAGGGGGTCATATGGGAAAGGGGAAAATAGTAAGGGACGATATGGGCAGGGGCAAACGGAGAATGGCGAAATGGGAGTAATAAAGGGGCGAATTGGTAAGGGGCGATGTAAGGGCAAATGAAGAAGGGCGATGGAAATGATAAGGGGCGAATTAAGATGAGGCGATATTATGTGATGCGCCACATTGAACGATTTAAATATTGATGATTGAAGTTATAAACATGGAATTTTTCGATGAATACTTTAAGTTAAATAAAAAAAACCCACAAAATTAAGTCTTTAAATGGAAAATTCTAAATCATGAGAAAGGAAAATTAATTCTTGAATTTAAAACATCTTTACGACTGTATATATCGAGCGATTGCCTTTAAATGTTTGTGTTCGTCATTACGATGACGGGAGTCGATGTTTTTGGAGATTTTATGTTGTTATTCAATACGATAATACAATTTGTTTTGAGTCTCGGGAGCGACAAAAAATAACATGAGAAAAGACGCGAGAGAAATGATAATTTGTCTGTACTTTGAATAGCACTTAAGCTTTAATAGATTATTGATGTTATTATAGAAGAATACTGGTTGAGTAAATCCCAAGAGTATTTTAATGCTCAGTCTTGTCCCGATATTCCAGAACCTCTGCTAATTTTAACTTTCGAGTTGCGCATTTAATGGGACAACTGGCACAACTTAACTATTTTAAAAGATAAAATTGCAAGCCAGCTTTACAAGACGGTCGTTCTTAAACCTCAACAAAATAAGTTTGTTAGAATTAGATTATACCATCCAAATCGTGGAACAATAGCCTAATCATAAAAGATTCCATCAGAAATAACTGTACCGATTCAAATCATCTAATTGTACGCTGAGATTTCTAGTTTTGATCATATTTCGCTCCCGTATATTACCTGAAAGTTTATAATTAATTAAAATTTCTTTTCACGCAAAATTTACAACTTAAAATGTCAAGGTTACAGAATTAACATCTCTTATTAAAAAGTTGTTATACAAGTCAGTGGCGGAGCCAAATTTTTGTTCGCAGCCACGAAAACAAGTTTTTCGGGCAAAAATCTCATAACTAGGTTAGAGATTCGGGCAATCTCAGATATCTCGCCATATGTATACATATTATATTCTTAGTATGGTTTGACTTCTTCTTGGTATGGTACATTAAGGTAGTGTAGTGCTTATACATGTATATTCTTGGTATGGTATGGTAAGACTTATTCTTGCTTTGGTATATTGAGACCTACTCTTGGTATGGTATGTCATTAGGTCTACCTATAATATTCTAGGTATGGTATGGTAGTACCTATATATTCTTGGTTTATTCTTGGTATGATATGGTAAGACCTACTCTTGGTATGGTATTGTATGGTGTGGTGTGGTGTGGTATGGTATGTATATGGTAGGCCTATGGTATGATATGGTAGTACCTTTATATTCTGAGTTTGGTATGGTATGGTAGATAGATTCTATATACTATTTGTTCCTTAAAACAACAGTATCACAAAAAGATATTATGTTTAGGCCTACTCAACGAAACACTTATCTGTATACATTATGCATAGCATAGCTCTTGTGGACTTACAGAGAGCCATGCTATTTATTTACACGAATATCATTAATAGTCTTATTCTTAATAATGGACTTATAATTATTAGGTTCAAGATGGAAAATGACCTCGAATGTCTTCGGATCGTCATCGAAATCCCAATGGGAATATCAATGTCTTTAAAACCGAAAACACTTTTCGCACGTTATTTAAATGAGAAAGACAAAAATTCACACTTTTTAGCGAGAGGTTAGTAGCATCATTTGTTACAGAGCAGTTACTGGAATGATCATAGAGATACCATCTGTTCAAAAGAAACACGTCATAATGTTTCCTACCTGATTTTCGGTAGGAATTTTCGTTTATCATCAACGCCTGCTTGTTGTTAGATGGAACCATTAACTGGTTTATGATTTCTTTTCTTGGTGATCAAGACTTTCAATGGACAGATTGGACATTAGCACCCCCGATATTCCATAATATCATATTGGATAATTAACCAATACGGGCTCAGCGGTGGTCATAATTCGATGATAAAATGGCAATGATAAAAAAAATTCTTGCTTCCGAAATGTTTAAGGCCCTATTTATATTTATTCGATTACTGAAATAAGCTTGAAGCATAATATATGTACGAAAATATTGGTTAACGGCGTCCAGATTTAGATCTCAGAGTTTGGCATCACTTTAGCAATCATTATTTGACCTGATGTTATGTAACTAAAATAAAGATATTTTCG